TTAAGAGACCTCGACATTAAATAAATCTGACACTGCGTTTCTTAATAATGCTATTTGATGTCTAATGGCCATCGTGAAATGTATAGAGCAAGCAGACGTTTGAGAGCAAAAAAAAAAAAAAAGAGAAAAGTGGATAAACCTGATCAAATGTCTACATGCCACTAGAGCTTTACCTTACTCTGAACCACTATCATTCTTTCACAGAAACCCTCTCCAGAAGGCACCATTCACGGCGACCGAGAGTTATCCGCTCTGCTTTGTCACACAGAAGAAACTCCTCCAGCTTTTAGTAATCTATGTGACATACGATGCCGGATGTGACATTAAAGCCACCTGCATGTCCTCCAACCTCCCAGTCCCCCAGCTACGTTGACGTCAGCCCAAGACTTCCACCCCATCTTCTCATGGGAAAAAATTTTAAAAAGTCACAGAGCCCCTCTATGGCCAGGTGCTACCCCTCCTCCCCAAAGGCTAAGGCTTTTCTTCTCTTTAGAGTGTGGCTCCAAACTTTTCTCCCAGCCTCTTCAAAGAGCAACAACAGGCCCTCGGTCCCTTGGGAGCACAGAGGGGGTAGAGCCCGGTGGGAGAGGGGCATACGTCACACAGCACGCACAAGAGGCCAGCCGGTGGGAAAAGAAAGCGCACAGGGAGAGGACAGAAAGAAGGAGAGAAAGAGGAAGAGGAGTCTGCATTTGAAAGGTGCTTTCAGCTTTTAGACAAGGGCCCTCGCTTTGTGAAAACGACAAGGAGAGAAAAAGCACAACAGCAGAAGCGAAAGAGACGAAGGGGGCGCAAAACCTGCCATGTCTTTTATCAGACTCGGAGGCTGAGGGAATGCGTTTAAAAGCTTTAGGCCTACTTCCAAAAAAAAAAAACCTTTCTACTTGCAAAAAAAAATAAAAAATCAAAGGGCTGGCTGTGAGACAAGGGGGTTGGGGGCAGAAGTTTCACTGTGATTTACTTTTGAGTTGCATTCTGTCATCAGATGTACCTTTGATTTTTGTCTACAGTTTCATACAAGTGAACAAAAATATATACGCTTTGGAATTTTGAGAGCAGCGGCTTGGGAAGGCTGAAGGTGGCTTTTGCTACACAGAGGGTAGGGCTTCGCGGCGGAGGAGGAGGAGGAGGAGGAGGAGGAGGAGCCATCAGTGTCACTAGAAACACCTCCCTGCATGGCCCACTTCAAATGCAGCCTCATTTCATCAGCCACAACCAACACAGGGCCACAGGGTAAATTGAAGAAACAGATGGGGGCTAGGAGGGGAGAACCAGAAGAGGGGGTGTGGGCGTTTAAGAATAGAAAGGGGTAACTTTGTGAGGAAAAACCATTAAAATAGATTATTTTATGAAGCTACTTTTGACATGGTGCAAACATAATGGGCTTTTTCTTTCATCTGATGGCAAGAGACGCAACCTAATAAACTAACCGACAGAAATTTGAACTTCCAAGTCATAACTTTTTAAAACCTTCCGCCCTATCAATGTCTATGTCAGCAACATAATTCTACAGGTATCAAATTTACGGGTAGGTGCAGACACCACGCTGGACGCAGGGGAGAAAGTGTGTCGAGGCTCACATGGCCTGGACCTCGTGTTGAGACCCACAGATCCACCTGCCCACACCACTCACTCACTGCCAAACAAACACAGCGTCTGACTCCACGGCTCATGAATGGGTGTAAGAGTCTGCATGGAAACATCATTAAGCCTTCAAGTGCATCTCTATATCTCAGTCTATCTGTGTGCACTCAACCACAATTTCAATGTAAAGCCGTTAATGAAGGCAAACTGCTAATGTGGGCGGCTCTTCAAAACAATGACTTGTATGAAACCGGCATTGTTCCTACAGGGAATATGGTTTGGAAAAGATCAGATCAAAAGAATTCCAAGCGTAGACTCCCCACTGTTGACACCCGACCCACATTCTCTTGGACCCTGGTTCAGCTGGGAGGGGGGCTCAAAGAACAGCAGCTATAAATAACTGTCTCACCAGGTATTCTATACAATATAGACAGCTTTTAAAGCTAAGAGAGTTTCATTCACATTCTCTCACCTAAGAGGTTAGCTTCTGTTTTGATCTGAAAGCACAGCGGGGTCGAGCTTTTAAATTTCTCCTCACATAGTGTTAAGACGTCTAATACGGTTAAAGCATGTGATGCGAGAAACGTTTTCTTCAGAGGGCTATAGTTTGATCACTTAGACTTTTTAGAGTATGTCTTTTAATTAAAAGACTTTCACACATGGCAAGATAACCATCCAACTACAGAACAGGTTTGAAAACCAACTATTTAGGCAGCTTGCGCAACTCAATGCAACCCTACAGTAGTGGTGCCACTGTGAGATGAGAGGAAAAAATGGCCAATGTAGAAATCGATTTTAACGTTATAGACGCAACTACATCTGTAAGGGGACTCCTGGATCGATCTAAATGTACCATGAACCGGTCGAGAGTCTAAAGTTATGAATCGGTGGACTGAAGCTTGGCTACTAACTGCGCCTCCACGCTCATGGAAGGTAAAAGATCAACATCAGGGTATTGCGACAAGAGCGCAGAAAGAAACGTTTGGAAGGTCAGTACATAAACGTGTCCAACAACGCCGACACAATTTTCAGTGCACCATCAAATCTAAAGTCTTAAGTTTGGAAGACATTTGGATTCTACAAGAACAAACGTCTAACCATTTGTAAGATTTGTCGAACAGCAATTACGTACAGCGGTAAACAAATCGGAACACTCACCTGGTGAGACGGCATGGTGACACCTACGCGGCCAACGAGAAGTCTGTGGATGCTAATGCAGCAAACACGAGCAAGAACACGCAAAGCATGGATATGAAAAACACATGGATCTAGATACGTATCGGATCGCCTTAGATGGGAGAGATGCACACTCCTATTGTCGCACTGTCAAAAGCTCTATGTGTGAAAACTAGGATTTAATTTCTACCATCACACAAACTATAACTTCCTATATGTGTAGAAAGAAAACAAATGGTTTAAACTTTTGAATTAAACATGAAAAGATTCACTTTATGATCACAAAACAAAAAAGGGAAAAGCAACCAAATAAATATTGATGGTGAAAACACCTTTTTTCCTTTATTCATTTTCCCTCTGGGCTATAAAAGTCATTAGGCACCCAGACTTAAATTATTTATACACGCTGAGCTCCACTAACTCCAACATTTCTCAAAAACATCCAACCCTTTCAGCGGGGGCTCCTGTTCCATCCTGGGCCAAAACTTCACACACCACAAACGCATGAATATTTCTAAGAAAGAAGAAATGAATATTTCTTTTTATGATAATAACTTACGGTAATTGCACAGTAATAATGTAGTTTTAAAGCTTAAATTGCTCAAACCGTATGAACCCCACTCATAAAAATAAGTTTTAAAAAACATAAGCCACGCTTCCACCTAAAAGTACCCGGAGAAGTTCCAAAATTCCTTTTCAAGGAATAAAATGCAGATCTTGATTTAAAACCCGGTCCCTGAAGAAAGTTCCTGCTGTGGAAAAGCAACTATAGTTTCAGGTGTTTCTCATAGAGCCAATCCCCAAAAAATGACCCGGAGACACACAGCTTGCAGTGAGTGGGATCTTGTTACTATATGAAAAGGTTTACTGCAGCTTTGGGCCCATGTCAGGATTAGCAACTTTGACACCATGTGGGTGCAACATGTAAAGCCAGTCCCAACCCCAGACCAGGACATTCATAAAAGGACCACTACCCCTCTCATCACAAAACCCACCATGCAACACCACGGCTGCCCTTCAGGCAAAGCAAAGCTATGAAAAACAGCTTGCTGCGAAAGAGAAAACAATGGTGGACTTTAGACCTGACTTAGACAGGAATCAGTAGATATTTCAGTTGCCTAAGACTTCCTCAAGTCTGATGTTTGCCTTCACCAGCATGCCGATAAATCCTCGTACTAGCAGCTCATTTTTTTTAAGAATCCAAACCTGCGTGTGTGGTTGCGTCTTGCTTGCACGATAATGCATAGTATAACATGACCTTTACACCAGAACCACCAGCAGAGAATAAAGTTGTATCGCCATAAAAAGCAAATAATAGCATGATGATTACAGTTCTTCAAAAGAGTGAGCATCTAAAAGCAGTATTTTAAAAAGGAAAATGGTGCTACACACAACACCACCACCGAATATTACAGTCTGTGCTCTATTGTGTTCAAATGCAAGTGATCCTGGATTCTGAGCTGCATTTAATAGATAGATGCATTTCTGCTCAAAGCGTCTGGATCGTGGGTGGAGGAACTGATTTTCCTTTTGTCTTGATGGGCTCCAATTCCTCAAACATGCTGCCTTTGAGTGAGGCATCGCTAACCAAAGAGGCTTAAGGCTCCTTAAGGATTTCCTCACTTGACAACAACAGCACAGTGTTTACGGCAATGCCAAAATACAAAAACAAGCATGACCTCCAACATTTCTCCCCAGCCGTTACAATCCACACTTGTCACCAGACTGTCACACTGCAATGCTTTCAACTCAGGCTTGATCTATTGTTGCTCTAGAAGAAACTACTCAGATCAGTGGATAGGATGATACAAACATTTGTTACCTACATGAGCAGATGACAGGTCTCGCAAAGAAGTGTTAAGATCCATCCTTTCGTTTTGTCACCCAAAGCAGAGATTGTAGCAGACACAAAACAGGGGTGTTTTGTGGTTCACTTTAAGAGTCCCAGTTGTGTACATTTTCACCTTACAAGCAGATCATTCAGCAACATTTAACTCACAGTGTGCAGCCAACGTGAATAACACACCCTCACCTGCATTGTTACGTTTGCCCACCAACAAAGCTTTGAGAAAGTTTTTCAAGAGTGCATTAGAAGAGTAAGTCTTCGACAGACGGACAGACAGACCACAGTCGATAAACCTCGTCCCAAATCTGAGAAACACGCACAACAAGCAGGCGACAGTTTCTAATACGCTCCTTCACCACAGAGACGTGAACCTCGTGGACAGCGTCGTACTCACCCGTGCAGTCAAACCGCAGTTATTCTTGTGGTGACAGTCCCGTTGCTCGAGGCGAGAGCTCGTGCAGTAGTATTTCTGCTTCACGAGCCAGTCGTCGATTCCCTTTCTCGCCAAACAGGCATTGACTACAAAACTGTCGCCTGAAACAAAGGAGCGCATTATTAGCAGCTACAAACTCTGTTTTCTCGCGCTACACTCATGTTTTCCATTAGCGGTCCATCTTCAAAGAGTCGCTGCGCTGTAATGCTGCTCTGAAGAGCTGTGAGCTCACTCTGAAAACTGTTCTGCTGTCCACAAACTGAGACACATATTACACTTTCATCATATACGAGGAGAAAAATGAGCGCGCTTACCTTCTGGGCTCTCCCTCGGTTTACAAATCGCGGCTTGAAGGAAGAAAGTCAGAAGACAATGAGTACTGTTACTCGAAAGTATCGCAGCAGCAGAAAGAAGAGCTATAGCTGTGATTTCTCTCAGGAATAAGAAAGCTTACCATGTTTCGAGTGCAGTTTACCCATTTCTATGCATCGAGTTGGAGTTGAAAACCATCAGAAGAATATAATCCAAAGAAAGAAAGGAACAGGCTCGGATATCCAGACAGAGGAGCGTCCGTAGAGACCGAGAGCAGACTGCGCTCAGTACAGGACCGTATGACTGGAGAGCCAAACGAGCCTTTGATCCTGAGCGCCGCCACCGACGACACACGCACACACATACACATACACACACGACGATATACGACTTCCTGCCCACGCTTTCAGAATAAAAGGCTTAATTGATGAGACGCGTCGGCTTCACAAAATAATGATTAGCGAAACGAAAATTCAAAGCACATACGGCACACCACTGTTAGGTTTCTAAAAAGAAAGTAAACACATTTTCATATTAATACTTGCGCTATGATGGCCATATAAGTGCACAGCCTCATTCATGAGACCAGAACAAAAGGTTCACAGACTATTCTTAAAGCCTGCACATTTTAAAATTGCAAAACTTCCTGCAAACCTTAGCTAGTAGCTGTAGTTAAACCATTGACTGTAACAACCTAACCAAGCGGTCCGAAGCAGTCATAGAGAAGCCCATTTTGTGTCAATTTCATATTTGCGTGCGTGTTTTTATTTTGAAAATGAATGTCGTCACTTCCGGCGTTATGTGGCTCTGTCTCTGGCAGAATTGACGCAGCTCGCTCAGCTTTCTTCCCTCCTGTCTCTCTTCAAAGCGCAGAAGAGGCGTCAAGAAAACCTACATTTCACTCTGCAAGCAAATGCATTTACATTTACTGACAGTGTCAGCGGTTCCTAAAACTTGGGGACTTCCACGGGTTCCTGCAGGGATCCCAGGACAGTAGCAGATTAATTGGGACCAACCGCCTTAGTTTACATGAGTCCACATGTAGTTTGTAACATCTAGTTTGAGCGCAAATAAGATTTGCAAAGGAAGATGTTAAGAGTTTGTCTCAGTGGAGCAGGACTGATGATTCCTCTATGAATAATTAAATTACCTACAGCCAACATCCCAAAGCATTAGCTACAAGATCTTTTCCATACTTTATAATGAATTAACACCCTCGATAGAGCATGCCGGTATTAAATTACTGTTTATATCCCCTCTTGACCTATAAAGCTGTTCATTTCAGTAATAAACCATACCAGCAATAATCCATTCAGATAGGCTTCCTGCAGCCAAAATCATATCATATTGTGTTCTGTGGTCAGCATGAGTCTGCCTGTTTGGGGTCTTTGACATGAGAATAAGGTTTAGAAATCACAGTCTTATTGGACTGAGGCAGCAGATGAAAGCAGGCTAAGATTCTTTTGAAGTCTTCAATTATATAATAAAAGACAGAAGCCACTGTGCCACCTTTCATGCCAGGCTCAATGTGACAGTAATACATCCCCACTGTGGGCATCATCTTGTGAGAAATCATTGGTAAAGGTTCAGATATTCTGACGAGATACACATGCATCCCCCACACCTGAATCAAGATTAAGAATGTTTAATTTTAAGAATTTTGTATCCATTGTTTTCCAATCTGGAATGATCACTGATTAGCATTGTTCTTTTTCTCTGAAATATAGAGAAAAGTCACGCTATGATTAAAAAAAAAATATGTATATAAAACAGTATATTTCTGTACAGAAAAAAGAACACACTGATATTAGGATTCTAAATGGAAGACCGCTTCTGCCGCTTCATTATGTGTGTCATTGATTTTTTAAATACAAAAATGAAATATGGAAAATATAGCATTTTGTCTTGTCGCTGCAGCATTTCAAATAATTCAATCTATCTTCCAAAATTAAAAACATGAAAAGAGTTCATGTAGAACAGGAATTAGGTTTTATAATATAAATGCACTATTTCACACAGGGCCGGATCTAGAAAATGAAATGAATGAATGAAATACTCTTTGGAATAGTTCTGTTCAGAAAGAGCTCCAATATGATGGGTTTTTTCTGTTGAGCAAGTGACTGCCTATGCTTTTAAATATTTCTGATCACCTCTCAGTGTAATGCTGTGTTCTCCTTGGACAGTACAGTGTGCCTTGTTATGTTCATTCATGCAGGAATAACACTTTATTAAATTCTTAAATTCACTTCATGTAACGTCACTTTGTTTTTCCTTCAAGGTATGCACCTCTTAATTAGTGAAATATACAAGAGAGTATATTGTTGAGCAGGGACAGATCTACAAAATGCCTGGCCTCCCCAGTTTGGTGTCAAACGTTGTCAAATTTAACACATTAATTTAAATCGATTTAAAAAATAACATGTTAAAAATGGAAATGAACACATGTAACTTAATGATCTGTTATGGCCACATTTTAAACTAAATGATAAGATAGTTTAAGCAAAAATCAATCAAAGATCAAATTAATTGTCCAAGCAAATAAAGATATATGTAATTGTTGGTGATTAAATCATTTATTTTTGCCACCCCATGAATATTGTTCTAGATCCACCACAGGTTTTATATTACAGCATAACAAGTAAGTACATCTTCAAAATCATAAATCATACACCCAGCAACAAATTTCCAACAAAAAGGTTTTCTGAGGGCTGTCAGTTGGTCCAGGCTGGTAGTCTTGTTTTTAAAGGTAGTGGGTTGTGTTATCAATCATGTTGCAAAAAACGTGCCATGTTTGATGCCGGATGTCTAATTTTAGAGCAAAACTCTTCTCTTGTCATTTCTGTGTCATTGTGTATTTTTCCTTTGAAGTTTAAAAATGGCAGATAAAAATATTAGGGGAGACTTTGTTATATTTCAGGACATAATCTTAAAACTAAACATCTGTAAAAACAAATGGACTCGTTCAAGTGCTGCTTAAATGGTAAAATATGGCACCATTTTAGCAGATGGCTCCCACATGGCTGGATGGTATGACCTCTAAATTATCATGGGCCTCTATAGTCAAGACTGTGTTCAGGTTTACCGATCTGGTTTTCCCTATCTGCATCCATATGCCGTATTAGCCATATTATTCCATATATCTAGTCTAACTACCATGTTAGAGCAATTTCCCATGTTGGCATACCACACAAATAGCAGTTCAACTTCCATATAAGTCATAGCGACAATTTGCCAACGTGGGACCTCGTAACATTTCTGTAGATCTTCATCTCTGGTAGAAAGAAAAGCACAAATATTCACACATAAAACCCCTAAGAGTGGCCCCATCTCTGCCACTAGGGGAAATCTACCAGTCAGTAAATGTAAAGCAGTGTTTAGTTGCCCTACTAGTGCGCTTCAACCACGCGCCTCACAAAAGACTACAAAAGCAGAATCCATCAATGTGTAGCAGTACCTTTGTGTAGTACCTCATTTGGTACATGCCAGGTCCTATGATGTAGGACATAACCATTGAAGCAACTCAAGTGGGAGGTACAGTACGTCAGATTGAGTCAGATTTCACTGGCTGATAGCACCACCGCTACACAAGACGGATGTATTGTGCTTTATAATATTCCCCACAATAACTGTTCCATTCGTTTATTTATTTTGTGATACAGAACAACAATGAGCTGCACTCGTACTTATGGAACTACACGTAGCAAACATCCAGGTCTCACAAGGGAACTCCCATTCAGTCACAATGTTCAAGTTCTTTCATTCATTAAGACAGAGAATGGTGATTGTAATGAGCTAAAGGTTTGCAGTGGAGATGGATGTGTGTTACGGAAAAGCAGCAACTTAACTTATTAACCCCTTAACACACAACTGTAAATCCAGCTTTCATAGTTTCATTCACCAGCTAACTGCAGAAGAGGTTCCATAAATTCCTGCACATAGTTAAGCAGCTAATAGCCAAAGGTGGCATATGCAAATATAACGAGTTGAGTTGGGATGATTTCTGAGGAAGTCAAGATCAAAAATGTAATCTGGCCCCAATTTTCTGGTAAGGATTTTCACATCTTTAGGGATGTGGCTATACACTGGACACATGTCTCTAATGCAGCCCTCCAGTTGCATTTCCGCTAAACAGTGGTTTCCGCATCCTGACTCTATCATCACATGTTGTACCAAGAGGAATCAGGCTCCCCTTTGAACTAGTCTGCCACAGACACACAGATGAGCTTGTTATTATAGCAACTCGCCTGAATTTGCTGGGAAAGAAGGCCTGTCCCTCTGACACACTTCCTGTCCTTTGAAGAGGCCAACGGAGAGATGGATTTGCGGGCCCTATTTCCAAGCTTCGACTTTGATGCCCGCGAGAGAGGAGGTGGCGGGGGTTTAAAGCCAAAGTTCCATCTCATGGATGTGAACCCCCAAACCTCCAATCAATCCCCATTATTGTGGGATGCAGTTATTTTCACCAATTCAGAGAATAAATATTTGGCTCTTATTGAAGCATTTGTCAAACCCAGTGGAAATCTGTCTCCTAATTTCTGTTGTGTTTCTTCTTTTATGGCGGAAAAGCTTCACAGAACAAAAGCTAAATTCTTTAGGCACCTGCCTGATTGATGTAGGTATTTATTGACCTGGGGGAGCTCCTACCTTGGTGGCCAACCCTAGCTCATTCCACCATAAAACCCGGCATTCTCCCTGGAAACCGGCATAATGGGGGGCATTGAGACGGCCAGATTCAGGGGGATCTAATGGTTTGTGTTTATGTCCTTGTAACAATGTTAGGGGCCTGATGCCTGGAGAGCCCACCGGAGGGAATGCTGCCTGGTGGTGAGGAGGGGGATGTGAAGCACATACAGGGAGAGAAGAGCAGCTGCTGGGCGCTTAAAGCTCAAACATGTGACTGTTGCCTTTATCTTGAGGAACAAAAGGGCATAGATGTTGTAAAGGGCAGAAGACAATCGTGACTGAAGTACAGTGTTGATTCCTGCAGCGGTGGTGACTCAGCCCATTGTGGTGGCCCAGCGTGTGATGTGTCAGGCGAAGGGTCTGCAGGCAGGGAAAGACAGTCTGGCATGCGTTTGCCATTCTGCATACTGGAAGCAATGGAAATAACCTGGATTCACACTAGTATGTTTTAGGCATTTACAGAAATAAGCGAAGTGGAGTAAAATTCAAAAGCAGATTCCACCATATACTGCTAATAACAGTTTTGATATATTCATTCCTTTGAGAGCATTTGATGCCCCGCAAGACCATTAACAGTCATTTCATATGATAGTACAAGAGAAACAGTAATATTTACACATGTAACAGGCACTAAGGATGTGGTTCAAACATTTTATCAAAATACTT